GTCAGGAGAGGTGATGGTCTCAGGAGTGGAGGTGATGTCAGGAGAGGTGACGTCATCATGTTTGGAGGTAGTTTCAGTAGAGCTGGTGGTCTCAGTATAGGTGGTGACGTCAGGAGAGGTGATGGTCTCAGGAGTGAAGGTGATGTCAGGAGAGGTGATGGTCTCAGGAGAGGAGGTGATTTCCGGAGAGGTGGTGTCTTCAGGTTTGGAGGTGGTCTCACTAGAGCTGGTGGTCTCAGTAGAGGTGGTGACGTCAGGGGAGGTGATGGTGTCAGGAGAGGAGGTTACTTCATGAGAGGTGATGGTCTCAGTAGAGGTGGTGATATCAGGAGAGGTGATGGTCTCAGGAGAGGTGGTGACGTCAGGAGAGGTGATAGTCTCAGGAGAGGAGGTGACGTCAAGAGAGGTGGTGTCATCAGGTTTGAAGGTGGTCTCAGTAGAGGTGGTGACGTCAGGAGAGGTGATGGTCTCAGGAGAGGAGGTGATGTCAGGAGAGGTGGTGTCATCAGGTTTGAAGGTGGTCTCAGGAGAGGAGGTGACATCAGGAGAGGTGATGGTCTCAGGAGAGGAGGTGACGTCAGGAGAGGTGATGGTATCAGGAGAGGAGGTGACTTCAGTAGAGGTGGTGACGTCAGGAGAGGTGATGGTCTCAGGAGTGGAGGTGATGTCAGGAGAGGTGGTGTCATCAGGTTTGGAGGTGGTCTCAGTAGAGCTGGTGGTCTCAGTAGAGGTGGTGACGTCAGGAGAGGTGATGGTCCCAGGAGAGGAGGTGAAGTCAGGAGAGGTGATGGTCTCAGGAGAGGAGGTGACGTCAGGAGAGGTGATGGTATCAGGAGAGGAGGTGACTTCAGTAGAGGTGGTGTCTTCAGGTTTGGAGGTGGTCTCAGTAGAGCTGGTGGTCTCAGTAGAGGTGGTGACATCAGGGGAGGTGATGGTCTCAGGAGAGGAGGTGACTTCATGAGAGGTGATGGTCTCAGGAGAGGAGGTGATGTCAGGAGAGGTGGTGTCATCAGGTTTGGAGGTGGTCTCAGTAGAGGTGGTGACGTCAGGAGAGGTGATGGTCTCAGGAGAGGAGGTGACTTCAGTAGAGGTGATGGTCCCAGTAGAGGTGGTGACCTTAAGTGAGGTTCTGACATCAGTAGATGTGCTGTCCTTAGGGTTCATGGGCAAATCAGAGTGGAAGGTGTTTTCCGGATTGTTCGACGTCTCAGATATGATTTTGGCATTAGGAGAAATGTCAGATGTCTGTCGTTTTTTTCGAATTGTTTTCTCTGTAATGTGAATTTGAGATTTATAATACAATGTTATTTTACACAGTATCAGATGTGGAATTATTTTATCCTTATGTTCGTATTTTTCTATTTTTTGTTTGTCCCTTTTTCCTTCAATGGCCACTTCAATATATGTAATACTTTTGTTGTAATACATTTGCATAGAAAGTTGTTGTGTCATTGTGTCTTTTTTGAGCTTTATGTTCTTTATCTATTTTATTTTTGTTGTTTCTTTAATATCCCACTTTTTTCTT